TCTCGGCAAATACTATGCGCTTGTAGTTATTGATTTTTTTTCAAAGTGGCCTAAAGTTTTTTTCACAACTTCACCAAATTCTGACTTCACAATTCAAGCATTAAGATAGGTGTTTAGTCGAGAAGGGGTTCCAATGGTGTTAGTGACTGATAACGGCTCTCATTTTGCCTCAGATGCAATCACTACCTGGTTAAATTGTATAGGGTGCAAACGTCTTTTTACTGCTCCCAGACATCCTTGTTCCAATGGTCAGGCAGAAAATTTTGTCAGGACGTTAAAAACTGCTATTGATTATATTGCCGCCTCGACATTTAATGAGCTGGAGAGGGGAGTAGATACCTTTCTACTGCAATATAGAAATGCCAGACATTCGGTGACGAAAGAGACTCTATCAAAACTATTAAAAGGGAAAATTCTTCGGTCAAATATGAGATGTTTGGAGTCTGCAGAAGTTACATATTATCGTGGCAATGATCTTCGACCATCCACGGGGATTGTTCTGAAAAATGTCGGGAAATCTATGGTGCGACTTCTAGATATCAATGACTTAAATACACAATCTACATGTTGATCAAATACAATTCCAGGAACCAGGTGAGTCTGTTCCGATTTCAGTTGTTAATTCTAATACTAATGAGTGCATTCTAGATAATACAGAGACTTTATCCAATACATTGTCGGACAGACACAGTATGAACTTGAGAAGACGTTCAATTGATTACAGACACTTAGACTCTAATTTAAGCTGTGGCGGATGTAGTGTTTGAATGAACTAATGACTCCTTTGTACTTGTTGAATGTTTGATTTCGAATTCTAAATACAGTACATTCGTTAGTGCTTGTGTAGTACTTCTTGATTCAATTGCGTTATCCCTGGGATTCTTAGTTCATACTATAATTCAATTACTCCTAATTATCATAGACACCTTTAAGTTTTGATTATTTAAGCACACAGCGGAACAAAGTACAAACATTCTGTGTGATTTTGACTCTTCCATAAGTTCCGGGCATAGAGTTGATTACGACAAGTATTGCAGCTCCAGACACATAAAGTATTAATACTCCTTTGTTCTACTATCGAACGATGGAACTAGAGGCTTTTCTCCTGAACAACTCTCAGCGATTTGTAGTTATGACTCAATAACCGTTTTGTCAGTGTACATAACCCCTCCATTATCTAAACACAAACGTTCAATAGCTTACCTAACCTACTAAATATTAGATGTTTTGAGAAACGTACATTGGTAATGATGAGACTGTTATCGGTCAGTAAGGATTCACTTCATTTGGTATACATGTTTTACGTAAAAATCATTCTTTTTAAGATGGCCATCAAGGATAGTGAAGTAACAGAAATTTTCATCTCCAGAAATCATTGACCATCTAACAAACTCTTATTTTGTTATAGATCTAACCTCTTTTTCAAGATTATAAGCCTGTCTATTTGACCTGGAAATATATAATGAATTGTTAAAAATTGTAAATATGTATATAAATCAAAAAACTAGTTTCTATTTATACAAAAGTAAAATCTCAGTCGAGCATTCGAAAAGTTTTTGACTAATCGGAGAAGAGGTAGGTGGCAGAAGAAGGGAGTAGATTGACATAATTCCACTCATTTAACATTTAAATTTCTATTGCACATACCTCACTCATGAATCACATCAGTGAGACTTCCTATTCATTAGTTTTCAATATCACTCGATTTAGTTCACAACAACTCATATTATCATATTCTGACCGACTTCCTCCTTTTAGACGAATTCCTAAAGATATCTGATATGACTAAAAGTATTTAATTAAAGTTTTTGTAGAAAGTTAGTTCAAAGGAAGATGTCATCAGCTGAAGCTCTTTGAAAGCTAGTCAACACTGAACGTCTGTTTGTAAAACATAAGGTGATCCGCTCAGCATAAATATACCAAAATGAGTAGTCGATCCCAGTCATAAATACTAACTAGCCTCATACTTGTTAAATAAGTTAGCCAGTTTAAGGAATCAGTAACAACAAACAGCCCTCAGCAACAACGAAAGCAGTGCTGAAGCATTCAATATGTTACATAAACTTACTCATCCAAGTATTCGAAAAACTATCAAGCTTATCACAGAATGGTATTGTTGGCCTGGTATAAATAATGACGTGAGGGAGTGATCGTGCTCATGTGTGAGCTGCTAGAAATTTAAGGTGATTGGATACAACAAATGTTCCTTAGGCTTTTTCAAAACTCCCGACACTCGTTTTGACCGCGTACATATTGATTCGGTAGGACCAATACCAGATACACATGGATACTCCTACTACAGACCGTGGACGCCAATTTGAATCTTGGACTTACCGTCGTTCTACTACACTACTGGGAATCCAACGGTCCCGAACAACCACCTACCACCCACGAGGAAACGAGTTCATAGAATGATTTCACCGACAGTTGAAAACCTCACTCTCAGCTGCAAGCGTTTCACATTGGATTGATGTTCTTCTACTCCTTTTACTCGGTGCTCGTAATGCAGTGGAAGCTGACGTTTGATACATTGCAGCACAACTTGTTTACAGAACGACACTCCAACTTCTAAGTGAATCCGTGTATCCTTCACTTTCTACAGTGAATATGGATCTACACCTACACGAACAGGCTTACAAACTCCATGCGTACAGTTATACTCCACTCGACCGCAGTCAATTAATGGTTTCGTTCAAGCTGCCTAACGATATAGAACACGTCTTTGTACGTCAAGACTCACATCGACGACCTCTCGAAACAGCATACGAAGGACTCTTCTTCAGTGGTGGCCGCTTGATTCCAGAGTATATCACGTTATCGTGTTCGCTTTTGGCCAAAATTAGCTTTTCGGAGCTAGTCAGCAAAAATTCGAGTGGTCCAGTGATTGTAATGTGGTGTGCAACGTTGCTAGTTACACATGGTAATTTTGATGGCGTTCGATGCATTTTGAAGTACTTACCGAGTATTCGTTGATAGGATGGGTCGATTATATGCCTTAGAGTGACTGAGGATAATCTACAATCAGGGAATGATGTTACGCGAACAAACAATTTAATATTATCATCCACCAACCCCAATTTGCACATGTCGATGAGTAGATTATGGTGTTTAAGCAGATATATATCAGTTATCGGCATAGAAACCGGTTCGCATGAACCTACGTTAAGATAAACATGTTACCATATGTGGCAATCGGTTATACAATTGCCGGCTGTAAGTTGAAAACCGCTTCAATAAGACAGTCATTAGAACTTGCAGGAAGAACGATGACTTCTGAGCCAGTGTCGAAAAGATAGTAAACTTTTATCAACACGTCAGTAACGTACAACAGGCGGTGATGTTTTCCGGCTACGGCTGCCGTTACCGCGGCTGGGTTAGGAGGTTTTCCGGAGTGTTGTTCATGTCAGACGGTTTAGAGCTTGAGAAACTGAAGTGATTTCTGAAATTTCGTATGTATTGTGGCGCCAGCAACGATTAGAACTATCTGCATCTTGCGGTCTAGAGACAGATCCTTTCCGTTACTATCTCCTTCGATGAGTTTGGAAGCGTCTATGATTATGGTGAATTTTAAGATAACGTATGATAGAGGTCTGTAACGTCATTTTGTGTTCTTTGGTGTCTTTTGTTGGCAGAATAAACCTGGACGTCTAGGGTTCTAGTTATCGTCAGAATCCGTTCGGAAGATACAGTCATTTCGTCTGCAGCGTTATTTTGAGATGAGACAAGAACTGTCTGCACCCGATGGGGAATCTTTAGCAAGAATAGCTGTCTAAATAGGTCCACGTCAACAATCTGTTGTCGAATGACCTCTCACATTCGTAGCAATATTTCTGTTGCTGGGCCATGTTACAACATGATGTTGTGGGGAGGTTGACACAACCTTTTTCGGTCGGCTAAAATAAGACACGCAAATAGGAGAAAAAATATCCGAAAACGGCAAATCAATACCACAATACGTAAAAATAATAATGAAAAACGTTATATAATGTTCAAATCAGGAGTAGACTCAGAGTTTACTGTTCGGATTACCGGATCACGTCAGAACCAACGCTAAAGATGTCATAGGTATTCGGAGTTTGACAACACCTTTACATATAACTCCTTTATAATTGAAGTGTATCAACCCGGCAAATCAGAAGTCAATAATGAAGGGTTTGAGGATATATTAAGAAAGCTATCGTTATGTCTAAAAGCATTCGGTTTAAGCTGGACAGCGGTTGCAAGGGATGAGTAGCACGGCGTACACACTAGTGATGTGGCATTGATGCGTGGCCGATTGCCTTCATCTAGGTGGGTTCTGTGAAACTAATGAGGTCACCATTAGTGTCGAAGACTCACATAACAATTTATATTGGACGTCCATTTATTGCTATAAGAACTATTAATAAGTAACAATTCGGAGGATATTCAATTAGAACAAGACAGGAAACTGAGCATACACTACCTTTTACACACAGTATTGAGGTTTTAGGAGGTATGTTTAAGTTACGGCACCCATGACAAATGTTTCGACATAACGCTCGAAAAGATCTTTGGTGTCATATATACGCAGGAGGATTTCATCGAGTGTTGATTCTTGTTCATTTCCACTATCCACCAAGTTGTTTTTCCCCTCATTTTTTATAGGGACTATAACAACAATCATATCCACTCAAAACCAATATTCACACTTTTACTAATCGGACACAAATTCCTTGGAACAAACAGGTCACTGATTTTGCCAAAAAATTTGATTATCGTCTCTTTGAGAAGGTTGTGATGACACATTCTGGTGATTTAGCTAACAGAGGGTTGATAAATACCATAGGTTTAATGACATGGCGAGATATTACTTTGGAGACTTCTACTTATTTACTGGCATCATTGTTATGTTGCTACACATTATTTAAGAACTGGATTATTATTACCTCCATTACAAGCATGAGAAATATCTCTGACAGTTCAAAAGAACTTACACGGCTTACGTTTCGCTATTTATGTTCAATAGAGTTTGTATAGTCGTTTGAATGTAAGCGGGCACTTACATTTCGCACTTCTTCGTATGATACCCCAGCGAATCCAACTGTTGTCGCTGTTTCGCACAGGTGAGATACACGCACCACACGGTAAACCTTTAGAACCATTTAATTAAAGAGTGATTGTCCCATGGCACTCTTTTCATAACGTTGCCGGCTGTGTTACAATCTTTAGAATGTTTGTGAATTGCTTAGTTTAGTCACTCAGATCTTGTTTTATATCTGAAAACACGCCTAACCTCACATAGATTACTGCAGTAGTTAGGATAACTATCTTGCTAGCAGTTACTTTACGAGGAATCCTATCATGATTTGTCACAGTCATCCTGGCATAGAAAGACATTGCTTCAAGATGCAATATGCGAAAGCTCACACAAAGATCTGCGCAAACTTCCTTGCTATCATAATATGTAAGTCCGAAGTTCTGTACATGAATCTATTGTCACTAGTCCTTTCTGTGAGTTTTCGAAAACTCAACATTTACTTCAGTCATATAGGTGCTGGTAAAGACTGAACAAGGTGTTCCCATTCAATTAATCGCCTCATTACCAATTCATATGTTTTCCCTTTATGCCTGAAATAAATAAGACAGGCGTCACACTCTATAACCACGATCATTACCTGACTATCCAAACCGCAAGGACGGAACAATGAACTACTTCAGCCCGATAGTGTCGAGAGGCATGCGGTATCACAATATTCTATTGTAATGGCATAGCGATAACTTCCGGCATTATGCTCTAGAAAAGTATCCAAGCTCATGACTTCGTACAATACACGGATCTCTATCACCACCATGCACAGACGTGTGATGGTTGTAATTACTTCACCCTGCGATCAGTTTTGGTTTGGTGCACCAGAGGAGTAAAACACTTAGACTTACATTCTCGTAAATACAAAGTTTGCATGCTCCAATGGTAAAATCTCTCACGGGTGAAATACAGCTAATACCTTGACGTAGTGATGGAGCATGGCCAAAATATCTCTTTCGTTCTTATCTTAAAAGATAGGTCAGTTGGGAAACAATGAGGCAGAAAGCAGAGACATCATGGTCTGAGGGCGACCGTCCATTCATGGATATGATGACGTTAAGATTTTTCCCTTGGAAAACTCACATCTCCAGGGTTGCTAGCTTCCCACAACGGGAGGAAGAGGAGGTCAGGAAAGGTTAATCACATGGATTCTTGTTGTAGGTAGTAAGATTTGAAAATTACTGACCCAACACACCAAAATCTACACCATAAAAATTCATATGTGGCTGGTTGTAAGCAGATATTCCTTGGACTTTGTGTTCGCGTTGGAAAGTCGTAAAGACTATTTTTAACTGATTTTCACCTTTACATTCCTTAAGTATACTTTTGCTTTGTGGGTAGTGAGGAATAGATAATTCCTGTCGTATTTCTAACATTTCTGGACATTAATCATCTTCACTCCATTACTTGCCGCTTATTAAGGCTCTTATTAAGTTTCCAACTTTACTGATTTATTGCAAAACTGTTTTGCCTTTCCTTCCGCCTTATGTGTTGGACTGTATCATATATCTTGCTAAAACCCTTGAATTTTGTGTCTAGGGACGTCTGTCTACCTACCTTAGAAGCTGCATCAACCGTAGTGGTTTGGTGACTTGCCTGTTCAATTTTCACTAATTCACTCTACTTGTGACTCCAAATATGCATGACTGCTATTTGAAAGGTACATGTACCACTTAGCATTTTAGGCTGTAGAATTTCGTGAGAACATGCGTAGGTTGTGCATTCTTGATCATATGGATCTGTAAAACTGCCTATGGTAAAACTACCCGACCGTTGTTGCTACCTTGATATGGTGGTCGGGCATGCCTATCGTGATGAAGTAACTGAGCTATACTGGCTGGAACAACCGCTTCTCAAGGTTCTACCATGCCAGAGAGGTCGGTTGAAGAGCGGTAAGACTAAAAGCAATAAACCTAAGGTCCGAAGGCAAAGTCGTACTGCTGACTGTATACAGGTGTGACAACAGCAAGGTGCTTCCTTCGGACAAGCAGCATGACAGCGATGCTGCCTTCCTACAAAGGGGGTGGGGTTAGAGGAGTTCGACCGTAAAAACCCACACCTCGCCCACATATTCACCATTCGTCAGGTTCTAGAACACAGGCATATGTGTCGATGCCCGACAGTGGTGGTCTTTCTCCACTTGAAAGCAGCATTTGACTCCGTAGACCGCGAGATTCTGTGGTAGTGTCTGTTATTCAGAGACGTACCTCAGAAGTACATAAACCTTGTGAAGGCTCTTTACTCGAACACTACTAGTCGAGTCAGAGCTTATGGCGAATTGTCATCTGCTTTTGCAACCTCAAGTGGCGTCCGTCAAGGCTGTTCACTTTCTCCATTTTTATTTAACTTCATTATAGACCTATTGATGGAAATAACGTTCTCGTCGACTGAATTCTCGGGTATTGATCTCCTTCCAGGAGGTCCACTTATTGACTTAGAATACGCAGATGACATAGTCCTGTTTGGTGAAGACGCTGATGAAATGCAGAGTCTTTTGGTAGCACTGAGCAACAATGCCAGAATGTTTGGGATGCGCTTCTCTCCCTCCAAATGCAAGTTGTTGCTTCAGGACTGGTCTGCGTCAACACCTGAACTAAGGATAGGGGGTGAAGTAGTCGAACGCGTTGATAACTTCACTTATCTTGGAAGTCTGATCAGCCCTAATGGGTTGGTGTCTGACGAAATTTCAGTACGGATTCGAAAAGCTCGTTTTGCTTTTGCCAACTTACGTCACCTATGGCGAAGGCGAGATATCGTCTAGCAACTAAGGGACGAGTATACTGCGTGGCAGTTCGTTCCGTTCTACTTTACAGCTGAGAAACATGGCCTTTAAGAGTAGAAGATACTCGTAAGTTACTAGTATTTGACAACAGATGCCTTAGGAATATTGATGGGATCACCGAGTAGGTAATAGTGATGCTAGACTCAGGGTATTAGGAAATGATGGTAAGCCAGTTGATGAGGTGAATATTCATTGAGTGAGATGGTTGGGCCATATGTTGCGTATGCCTGAACACCGATTACCACGACGCGCAATGGTAACCGGTGTTAGGGATGATTGTAAGAAAGTTAGGGGCGGCCAAACCAAAACGTGGCATCAGTGCTTGAAGTCACTAACTTCTATTCTGAGCCATGTTGGTAGATGCAGACCACTTGGTTGGGGTCTGCGTGACTACTGTAACCAATGGTTGGAGACTGGGTGACATTGCTCAGAATCGATCACAGTGGTGTACGTGTACGCATCCTTTTTCTGCCCTTAAATCGTGGGATTAAAATTGCTTCATATCTTTCTTTTATATATTACCACCATTGACTTAACTACTTCCATGAATTCGGTGTTCATCTTGCTGTGCTAATTAGGTGTGGCATCTTGGACCGATGCATATATGTGCCTGATCCTACGTTGTAGCTGACTAACTGAGATGTATTCGGTGCCCCTTTGTACCAATATTTGTGTTCAAATAAATAATAAATCACAGACCATGAATACGTTTACGGTTGCTCGAATTCGTCTTAACCGTATTCATTAAGTTACTGGTCTGTGTTCAACAGTGGCCGACAAATACATCACTTTGCTACGATTTCTGCTTCTAAACTTACTGTTATTTGTTTTCACAAGGTACTAAATATTCCTTTAGACTCGATTGCCAGTCTGCTTTTGTTGATAAATCTTCCTTCTAATTCTCTTGTTGAGTTCTCGTTCTGCTAGTGTAAGACAATTTGAATCGGCACACATTCGTGCTAGTTCTTACATCATCCGACCGAATGGATCCTAAGACCAATCAATTATGTAGGTTGACTCTGATTATTTGTCGCTTATCTATTCGCGACCCATAAAAAACCACTAAACGGGGTGTACTTACTTGCTCAGACCTGTATATTGCAAAGATGTAAAGTGATATTTGATAAAGATCTACAGAGATATTCGATGTGTGGAGTTATATACCAATTGAGTAGAGGCACGAAGTCTTCGATTGAAATTCCATCTTATTTCAGTTTATAAAGCAAACGTGTGAACCACAATTTGTCGTGTCAAACTGTAGGCTGTTGAACTCTTTTGTACTACTTTTATCCGAACTTCGATTCCAACATTAAAAATGAGTTGTGATGGTAGGTTTCCAATGGAAATAGATTTGAGGGTATGTATTGTGTCACTTCATATATCTCGACACAAACGACCGCCATTTTAACGAGTACGAGCAATACATTCGATAAATAAAATCAAGTTAGACCACCATTGAAAATCTGGAAGTACTGGACGGCCGTTTCGTCCTAGTATGGGACACCTCGGCAGTGCGCACCACGATCCCGCCCACGGGTTTCGAGCCCAAGACTCTCGGTCCCGCGCGCGAATGCTTAACCTATAGACCACTGATCCAGCCGACATCCAACAGTGTTAATGTCTAACTTCAACCAGTCCACGAAATCGCGCGACCATCTTCCATTGTCTGAGGTAGATGCTTGTCTCGACCTGACATAGATTAGCTCCATTGTTCACATCTCACTAAAACTCGAGAATTCCCTCACGAAGCTAGTCTCTAGTAAGTGCATGGTAGTTTTCAGTGTGGAGTTGTGAAAATTGTTAAGTTAGCACGTCAGGTAGAGGCAGGTATCTACCTCAGACAATGGAAGATGGATTGGTTGAAGTTAGACATTAACACTGCTGGATGTCGGCTGGATCGGTGGTCTATAGGTTAAGCATTCGAGCGCGGGACCGAGAGTCTTGGGCTCGAAACCCGTGGGCGGGATCGTGGTGCGCACTGCTGAGGTGTCCCATACTAGGACGAAACGGCAGTCCAGTGCTTCCAGTTCTTCAGTGGTCTAACATCAGTCGATTCATGATCTCAACAATCCCATACTGATAAACAAAACGAATTAGTCCGCATTCAGATTTAAAGATAAATCTCTAAGATTTGTAGCCCATTTTCATGGACAAAGAAGCCAATCATATCAAACTGTTATAGAAAGCTGACTCATAATGAAGTGGTTTTACTTATCCAAATAATTCCTATGAAATCTGTTACAGTTGGACACCAAAAATAATATGTGCCATACAGCTAGAGAAATTATGTTGTGAAAAAAAAACAAATAAGGGGGAAGTGCAGCTAAGAAAAAAGAACAAGCAAACGGGAAAATCATATGGTAGAGGCTATAGTCCAGTTAAAATTATGATAATCAGAGAAGCTCGTCACTGGCGACTTTTGTTTGACCAGCTGAGTGACAATGATTCTCGCCAATAATTTCAACTCAAGCTTCGCCTTAAATGGTGTTTGTTTGTATCCACTAGCTTTTTCTGTTATTAAATTTCATTTAAAAATAATTTCCTCTGTTCTATCAACATATTGTAAATTGATTTACTTTACAGATCCTTTTTTTGATTCGGTGTTGCAATGCAATGCCCAATGATAAGCCAGAATTGCATACTTGTATTGCACTGTTCATATTGCTCATTCAATACACTTCTTTTATCCAATCTCATCAATCACTTCAAGACTGCCCATTCAAGTGCAAACTGTTTGTTTAGTTTGTATCAGTGTCGTCATTGTCAATTAATATCAACATCTTGTCCCGTTCTTACTGAACATTCTTTAATCAATCATATAGAAAAGGAGGTGAGTTTGTTGATCTCAAATAAACTAACATTCTTGTGTATAATTATAGGTGTCTATTCAGTGTATATATCAGAATCATTCAGGAAATCCAATTTTTACTGGGGAAGCAATGTACGAATGCTTGCTTTGTTCATTCAAAGCTAAAGAAGTTAAAAATTTAACCTTACATTATTTCGCTTTTCATGGTATCAAAAATGCCAGTCCGAATTTGACCAAGCATTTAACTTATGATTATTCATCAGGTTCTTAGTATTATTTGTTTTTTCTTATTTCAATTAATTACTTCAATCAATTAGGATTAAATTACAATTTCCATGATGCAAAATCATTGTTTATGAGTGATAAACGAAATGCATTTGTCGATCTTAATCAAGATGATGGTGAAATGAGTTCTCATTCAGTAAGTTTTTTCATTTAATGTTGGTTGAATACGTGTTCATTTTTGTTTATCTAGGTTGGAACAGAAAGTGGTCGATTTTCCAGGGGATCTCATCTTAGTTGTAATCATTAGATTTTTTGCTATTTAATTATTTTTACTCTTTAAGCATCCCAAGTCAACCGAAGCTTAATGCCATATAAATGTACACACTGCGGCAACGCTTATCACAAACGAAAGTATTTTGCTGAGCATGTTTTCTCCTGTTCCAAATCTTTGCAATTAACTTGCCCATGTGGCCGTGTTTGTAAATGGCGATCGAATTTCTATGCACATAGGTTAGTATTCTGTGTAATTTAGTGTGTCTTCGTAGTGAAAGTATTTTCCATTTCATTGTCCAAATAACAAATGTTGTGTTTGTGTGATCAAATGCAATGTGATAGGTTTTAATTGAATAAGTTAATTTAGGGAGTAGTTGGACAGACTGTTTGTTCCATTCTTAAAGCCTTCTGGAATCAAGGTGTTTGTTGTTTCTCATTATTATCAGAATGGTTTTCTCCACAGAAGTTTTGGTGAAACGAACGTTTGTTACACCGTTGATATACGTAAAACATTTAGAAATTGCATATACCCTGTAGTCATTTTAGGAATTCCACCTGCAGTTTGCGCATCGCCAAATTTCAATACTACGGCGAAGTATTTTATTAATCAACTCTTCTAGCTGAAAGCAATATGCGCACCCTTCCGTGTCTTTAATAGTCGTAAAATCACTATTTTGTTCCTTCAGTTTGTACCTAATTGGGATTTTTATATAACTATCATCTGATATATTTCTTCCTGAGATAAAGTTAGTGATGAGTATCGGTTACTAATAGAAATAATATTTTTTGAATGACAAATTGCGTAAATTCCTCATATCCAATCTACCTTCTAGTTCATTATTTAAATATTAAGTTGGGATTCGGACTTGGTTTTTTGCTCACAATGTCCAAAATGTTGTGCCGAATTTTTATGGCTTACTTAAGAATCTGACGTACTAAGTCATCGCTGAGGGGACCTAATTGGACTAGTTAAACCAGGGGGCACTTAAGTTATATTTTAAACATTATATTGTACTTGAATTTCCAAGTCCTGAGTTTATTACTTGCAAGTTTTCTTATCAATGTGAATTCGTGGTAAGTTTCAGATTTTAACGAAAAAATTATGTACATTTGCACTACTTCTAAAAACACTTTAATGTTGTAAAAATAATTACAGCGACGATCACACAAGAATTTGGCGATCTCAGTCAGCTTTATAGTGTGTATTAGTGGCTTAGTTGTTAAGTCAATTGATTCAAGACCGTTGTGTTCCTGTTTCAGACCCCGTCCCACCTACTTCAGTTTGGTCGGCTAGACAGTATAATTAGTCCTTTCACTAAAAGTCTTAACCAAAACCAAATATCTAAGCTTGTACTTAGCGGTAGGTATAAAATGTGTACACTGGTATCAGAGTTTGTGAGTGACCTACACCAGTAATTCTCGCTTTCTGTATCTCACGGTTGTGATTAATTTATCTCACCAACCTATCAATATTTGTTGCATCATTCATAATCATTTAGGTCGTTTAATAATAGATATATTTCAGTCACTTATCAAGATGGAACCTGAAGCAAATATCAGCCCGTTATTATGCTGCGTCAATACAGGGAGATTACTCAAACAAGATACATAACAAAAAATTCGGAATAATAGTAGTATCAGTGATATTGAAAGACCACATATTGCAAAATAAACCGGTTATATCCAACGTATAAACTGGTGCGTGTTCATCTGTTTCAGTTGTCACATCCAATTAGTACATCGAGATGAAATTGTCAAGGTAAATCCTAGAGTAGTAACAATATTAAAGTAATGGAAGCGAATAGGCACAGATCATACTGTTCGAGAAGAAAATATGGATAAGTGGAATAAGAAGAAAAAAGGGCATCCTTTTGTAAGGTAATTTAGAAGCTTAAGATGTAAAAGAAGGCAAATACAATGCGCCTGACCCACTTGTAATTTTGAACTGTAACATCTGAAGCCTCTAACCATTAGTTACGATAACCGCATCGACCCCGACCAAACGGTCTACACCTATCTACACGGTTCAGTTAAACAATCAATGTCTTCATGGACTAATGCTATGTACTGGTTTCCCCTTCCCTAGCTCCCAGCCTAATTTTATGCCTAGTGTTGCTTATCAAGCTAGGCAGTGAATTGAGAAAGCTACTTCAAAGACACCTAAAGTCGAATACTAGTGGCTTTCAATGTGGTCTATTATCCCAAACTATGTTTCACGGCATTGCAATGGCACGTGTTGAGTTGCTGTATAGCATACTTACCTATCCGTTGAAAAATGAACATGTTGTCTATGCCATAAGCAAGACCACTAGTTAAAAACTAAAGGCTATTTATAAACCCATGCCAACAGCTCCTCGAAGCTGGCGGGCTTTACGAGAATATATAAAGTAATCAACACACCCAACTACCTCAAAGCTGATGATCGGCCTGACACAGGCTAATACTAAAGCAAGATTCCTCGCTACCCACAAAGCAAAAGTATACTTAAGGAATGTAAAGGTGAAAATCAGTTAAAAATAGTCTTTACGACTTTCCAACGCGAACACAAAGTCCAAGGAATATCTGCTTACAACCAGCCACATATGAATTTTTATGGTGTAGATTTTGGTGTGTTGGGTCAGTAATTTTCAAATCTTACTACCTACAACAAGAATCCATGTGATTAACCTTTCCTGACCTCCTCTTCCTCCCGTTGTGGGAAGCTAGCAACCCTGGAGATGTGAGTTTTCCAAGGGAAAAATCTTAACGTCATCATATCCATGAATGGACGGTCGCCCTCAGACCATGATGTCTCTGCTTTCTGCCTCATTGTTTCCCAACTGACCTATCTTTTAAGATAAGAACGAAAGAGATATTTTGGCCATGCTCCATCACTACGTCAAGGTATTAGCTGTATTTCACCCGTGAGAGATATTACCATTGGAGCATGCAAACTTTGTATTTACGAGAATGTAAGTCTAAGTGTTTTACACCTTTGGTGCACTGAATTTCCGATGGTATCATAATTTTATTGAAAATAAGAAACCATCTGTATACTGTATAAGTAAAATTTCACGATGCTCTTAATTGTGTTAATATTGCATCTTTTTTTAATTTCAGAAAATCATGCTCCGTTTATAAGCAGCTTGTAACTGGAGGCAGTCATCTCTCTGTTTTTCGTCGCCGAGGTTTGACTTTGTCTAAATCAAGCATTAATGATGATTCTGAAAGTATTACTAAAGAATCAGTTAGTTCTAGTGAACATCTGCTTGATATGTCAACTAATCCCAAAGATGCTTCTACTGTAAACTTAATTGGTGGAAATAATTTAACTCCCTTAGTTTCTTCTTCTACACCCGAAGTTACTCCCCAGTCTAATGCAGATTCTAGCATTGATGTATTTAGAAATTCCGATTCCCTTCAAACCTCTCTCACCTACATAACTCCAGTTTCATCTCTAGCCACATCTGTTCCGACTTATGTTTCTAATGAAAATATTGAAACAAATAATTTAAATCATGTATCCAGTAATTCGATGGTCACATCTGCCTCTATAATTCATGCATTAAGTCAAACTTCTAATTTATCCGTATTAGTTGACACCCGTTGCCCTGTCAGTAATTATCCGTCAAATCAAATAAATGAATGTACCGCCACTAATGCGGATGGTGGATTTATTCAATGTGTATCATCAAAAGGTGAACCACTTATTATGTTTCCTGGTATGTAATCTGAAAAACTTAAATACACAGTTTTACTCTCCGGTCAAATATATATATATATATATATATATATATATATATATATATATATATTCTACATGCCACAACACTCAGTTGAAAATTCCAAAAAATCAAAAAGCTTTAAAACCATTTCCACAGTATATCTTTCTATCTTATATGTAAGAACGAATTAATTTATTTTCCTTATTGATTTCCCTTTTTTTTCATTTAATTTCTGTGTATAAAGTTCTTTTTTATGTCATTTTGTTTAAATTATCGCTTCTATCTTTCAATATATGCATTGTTCATGAAGGAATCAATGGAATAAATGTCATCACAAGTTTGTAACAATTTAAATTTCGTGAAAATACAATATATATGGTGTTCTTTAAGAAATTTCAATCTATAGACAAAGTTTGCAATACTTATCATGTTTTTTTAATTGAGCAAAAAAATATTCATGTTTTTAATTGTACAACTTTAAAAAGTACACATTTAGGCTTCAATTAAGCTGACATCTTTTAATTTATGATGTAAAAAAACATTTGTCATTCAATTTAGAAACTTTCTTACATAAATAGATCATGTTTTGTAAATTGATTGACAACTAATTAAATGACAATGTGAACAAGATAATATTAAGCAAAACCAATAAATGTTATTTATACACATGTATTTCGACCTAAAGCACTTGTTAGTTTCATCAGTCGTTAGCCAAATAATATGATGTTGAGGAAGTTTCGATATTAACGATCATTTGACAATTATAAGTATTCATTCTAAATGTTGAGAATCAATTCAGTTAATGGTAAAATATTCAAGGTTGAATTTTAGTCATTATTTGTTAATTGCACTCAATATACCACGTACTATAATTTACGGTGTTGTACTTTTTTCAAAGTCAACTATTCTTTGACTCTGTAATAATTTACTCATGATAGATATGGTGCACTATTTTACTTCAAATGTAGATTTGAGGAATACCGTTTATTTAGTTTCAAGTATAACTTCTATCCAAACAAGACGCGTCCCAATGCTTTTCATACCATAAATAAACAGGACCACATAATCGCATTTTAATTGAAGGTATTTATACTTGTTAGTAGGAGGTACTTAATTACTGATTTTGGATAAGTTGTTATATTAACACGTTTCGTATGAACACTTGATAGCTAGTCACTCAACAGTAGTTTAAGCACAAGCCATATACGTTAGTTGATTGCTCGCCATATTGAATAATGTCAAGATGATTCATGGAAGTATCCACCGTGCTTTTTTGATACTCGTAATTGGGTGAATATATATCCGAATGATACAAACGGCACGTGTGTATCACAGTCTTCTCACCATATCTCAATTTCATTTTGAGTGATTACACGGCATAATGTTGATCGTACATTTGCGGTTTGGTAATTGTGTGCCTACTATTGGTTTTTTTAGTAAATAAATGATGTTTTAAGTCAAATAAGTTTATCAGTATGAAACCTTTTTTGAGGACTAATCTTCAGTGAGTATTCCGTTAATATTGACCGATGATGGAACAAACTTTCAAATGCGATAAACATCGAAAAATCTAAAACTCATTCTCAACATTTGGTAAAGACTTATTTAAACGTTCGGTGGGTGCTATTGCTTCCAAAATGACTGAATTAATTGTGTGAATGCAATTCCGAAGTTGTACAATAACAAATTTTTACTAAAAAACTAAAGTGATCAGTAAAAATGTTTCTGATTGCATAGACGATGCTCATGAAAAAGGACTCACAATCAATGGACAGAAAGTGTTTTTATGTAGTGCCAAGTTCCAAATGACTTACTCGTTTAAATCAGGACCATTGGTTAGTTTCACTAGGCGATGTAGTTATTATGAATTAAAATTCTATAAGACATTTGCTTGGACGTACAGAATGATTGCTAGTTGTTTTTAAATCAGGTATAACGCTTTCGATAATTTTGACAGAGATTACCCATAGAAATTTACCGTAAATCTTATTTGTTATCCATAACTATCAGCAGTCTAGTTTAAATCTTCATAATTTTATCAGTTATGTTAATTATCATATCTTAATCCAGCTCTTTTAATTAGACAATTTAACACTTACTATACAATAGGGAAAATGTTCCCAGTTATTTAAATCCTCTGTAGATACTGCTTTTTAATTGTATTGCTGTAAAATAAAGTATACAGAAAAACACATTGAGACTACTTTATGATTATATTTTTAAATACGAAGGTAAGTCTTAAGAAGGGAGCTATTTGCACTGACGAGGTTTTCTTCCAGAAAACTCAAAAGAAACTGCTGACTATTTGAAGGTTCTTCAGCTAGTATCAGGGCGTGAAAAAAAGGCTAATTCACTCTTCAACTAGGTAAATATGAATTTGATCACAATAATCATACGATAAATAGTTTTAAAAATATCCTAGAAATAATAAGAAAGAAACTATTGTATTGATAAAGCAGAAATATTAAGTTTATTGAAAACGATAAAATTATTATTAGGCTAATAGTGTTTCTCAAAATTATTGTTGCAACCAACATTAATGAATATTTGCTGATATCACCAGGATTGTGACAAAATGAAAACAGTGTAAATACATCAAAGAAAAAAAACATCACAGAACATTGTAACACAGTGTATAAGTTTACGTATAGACAATTGTATACACATAGGTAAGTATATTAAATAAAAAGCGAAATTGTCGTACATTAATCCTATTGTAAAATTGAAATACAAATATGAAATATATAATATATTTGTGTGTTATAAATCGAAAAAAACAATAATATCATTATTGCTTTCCATTTAAACCCATTTCATTGATCAATGTGACTTTTTGAACTTTTTTATCAAAACTATCCAGATTATAAACACGTAACATTTCTTCACGTAGACATTCAGCTGCTAACGCCAAATTTCTTGACTATGAAAAGTAAATAAATAAACAATCAATTATTGTTCACTGTAACAATTTAAATGGATACCTGTAATTTAGTGATATGATTATTGTTGATTATTTTGTGCTAAAAAAATACTGAGAACTCTTAATAATCATTAGTGGGGCAAGTGATACAAATTTTATGATTGTCAGTTGTGTTCCTAAAACATCCGTTGTAATTTAAAACAAAATCATTATATAGTGTATTCAATGATATTGATAGTGAGCTGTCTAAATTAGATGCTATTTTGGTTGAAAAATAATTCTAATTTACGCTGATATAGAAGGAATACCAAATAGAGTTTATGTTAAATCGGTGATTGCTTATTAAGATATTGCTAAGGTTCAGTAACTTAAAAATTAGGTAACAGGTTTATAATGTCATCTTACTATGAACTGTGGAATACAATAGTGTTTCTAACAGATACACATTTTGAAAAAAGTCAATCATTAGTGCACAGACACCATGGGTTTATTTCCTAATACGAGTATGTTGTATCAGACCATTGTTCTTTGTATGACATCTCAGTTAATTTATGTACGAATATTAGGTCGCTAGTTTATAGCTTATTAAAAGTATATAATCAGAGTACATTACTCTGGACTATTTTAAGAGCCAGCCCACCAAAATTAGTTCTGTTTAACTTCCCTAAAATATTTCCGAATGAGTATAAATATGGTGGACATGAAACGCATGATCAGAACTAACGAGTTTTATCACTAATTCTTTAAACGACCCTTCATCTCAGTTTATTTTTGGTGTTTATTATTACTGGGGTTACTGTTGGGAAATTTATTCCTGAAAATTCAAGGTTTGAAAAAAGGTAAAATAGCCGGTATGTTTAACCAAACTGTAAAAAATTAGTGAGGTTGATATGTCTGTTATAGATAACTTGCAAGGATTATTTGATGTGATCTATACGGAATCGTGTGAAAATTTTAAACGTGGATTCAACTAGATAATCCCCGTACTGTCTGGGAACTCGTAAATCTCCTAACCAGGCAGAGTTCAATGTTATCCTAGTGTAAACTAATGAATCACTTGTGACGTACTAATATACCTTCCAGGAGTTAACTAAGTTGTAGAATTAAAGGCTACATTTATTATAATGAAAACAAACTCACTTGCTGAATCCTAGCTTCTTTTTCTTCAATTAGTCGACGTATGTGTTCATCTTTCTGTCGTAAAGCTAATTCAGCTGCCTTTCGTACTTCTTGTTCTCTGCGTTGTATCCTTATAATAATAATAATAATAATAATAATAATAATAATAATAATAATAATAATAATAATAATAATAATAATAATAATAATAATAATAATAGTACTAATAATAATCAAATTTTACGGTCAAACAATTTATAAAGTAAATAACGTTTTTGTTCAGTGAAATGGTGAGTCATGATGACATTAAAATGACCAACATTACCTTCCTATGTGTAGTATATGGTATCCCAATACATGAAATGATAAATCTAATTTATTTTATTTAATGCTTAAGCTTAATTTCACTAGCAAAATATTTATTAAGTAATTTACCATTATTTTGAAATTTGATAGTGAGCAGTTACCAATATCCTACTTATCTAGTTCTTGGTATCAGCCGAACTCTACCGGTCAAGTCGCGTTCTGTTCACTTAATTTCTGACTTTAAATGATTGAGTTTAAAATTTTTTAATATCTTAATTTTTAAATAAGAATGCAATTTCTTATTGTCTTATTTCTGTGTTGAAACTCTTAAAATTCTAAATTATAAGTAACAATGCTTAGCAAACTCATGAATAAGTTCACTTGGTAATATGAGTTTGTTACTTGCATTTTCTGTACAAATTATGATCATTACTGGGAAGGCGTATGTTCGTTATGTATTCTGATGAAGGTAAAACACTAAAAATATGTTCGATATCTACGATCCCGAGAGTAAATGTTTGATGAAAAACTATCGTCACTGTCAAATGGAGGATATTAATACATTACTGAGAAGAACATCTAGATGAAATAAAACTATGAATTCTTCGATGATTTTCTTTTTAACTTCCAAGAACATTGAAAATATGCTTTCAAAGAAGCTGGCATATTGATGATTGGTCTTTGTTTGATCGCGCTGAAATCCTGTTGGCGCTTATATAATCACCGTGACTTAATGAGAAAAATGTTGGAGCAACGGTAGTAGGTAGCATCGAAATTCGAAAAAATAAGTACTACATTCAAATCAGTAGCTTGCCCAGATAACTTGCTCAATTTACAATTTAATAGTTCTTTGTAAAAGAAAAACATAAACATACATTGAACCATGCTAGTTCGGAGTCTTATTCTTGGCATGAAAATTAACTGTTATAGTATGTGATTGATACCGTTGAATTCTACTAAATTATTTTACAAATCCAATTTTCATTAAAACTTACTTCACTTACGCCTGTTACCCCTCATGGAGGAGTATAGGCTGCCCATTTCACTAAAACTACACAGAATAATTGACAAATATTTATCGATATACCTAATGATTTTTTAATTGATGTTAATCAGTTATAAAACTCAACTTTCATCAAACGACAATATATTTCAACTAACTCTTTTGTATTCTCTTCAACTTGCATTTGTTTTTGTCTTCGTTCTGAAGCTAATCTTTTCTGTTCTTCTGATAATCTACAGGATACACGTTCCATAGCTCTTTGTATAGACTGTACAATTAAAAATAAAGCAAATAATGAAAATAAGTTGGATGGGTTGTATAAACTCAGAGATACTAGTTATATTTTCAAAAATCTATTCAATGTAGGACGAAATTACAGACGTTTCACTGTTTTTAATCTTCACATCCTTTTCAGAAAATGAACAAAATTTCGGTAGTATATATATATTCCTTAATTCACATGTTTTATGACTACATAAGACTCAATCGTTTGGTACCTCTGAAATACTCAAAAAATCAGAGTG